GTGCCCGGGCATCCTCAGGGTGTTTCCCCACTTCTGTCCTTTCGGGGAGCAGTCAAGCGTGCTAACCATTCCCACCACCGGGAGGGAACCCCCCACAACCAACACTTCTGAGTGGACGACTGCAGCGTCCCAGGCAGGGGAGGCGCCAAGTCTCCGGACAGAGACACATTTCAAGCAGGAGTGTCTTGATCCTGTGTGTGAGCGGCTTGGGGAAGGCTCAGGGATTCCAACAGAGAAAATGCGCAACGCTGTGTAGTTCTGGGTCAACAGAAAAAATAAAAACCACCTTCCTGGGTCTAACACGGAAGGCATGATTTCTTAGGAGCCCCACTGTCCTGTACAGATGTTCAAAGCTAAGCCACTCGGGGTCGGCCATGAGGATGCTTGGCTGCCACTGAGGGAGGAACCGTGCAACAAAGACGCTGTCGCGGAGAAACGCCTCTCGTCCTGGATTTCACTGCTCTGTTGTCAAGGGCTGGCCTCCTTTTCTAAGTTGGCCTCCACCCTGCCCTTTCTTTCCCACCTTAGATCTCCCGAGGGGTGCTAGATATGCCACAAAAGGGCAATTGTCAGGGCTGTTCTCCCACAGGAAGTTCCCAGAGCCGTGGCTCTGTGGGCAATGCACGGGGTGACTATTTTCCAGGAGGATCTAAACACAAAGCATAGACCACCGTGCGCACACACACACCACCCCAAGACGTGACCTGGCGTGCCCCACCCCCACCCCCACCCAACAGCTGTAGGCGGGCTGGGGAGGTACGCAGTGCCTCTCTGGTTTCATGGTGCCGATTTGGACCCCTGCCCACCAAGTAGTCTGGGCCACGGAATAAAATAAACATTCAAATACGTGTGCTGAGTCTTTCTTCTGCGCCAGGGGAGCCTCCTGTGAACCGAAAGCCGCGTCCCATTCACCAGCAGGGCTGGCAGCCACTCGGTCACAGGAGGCCCCGTGTTGAGGCCCGGAGCCGGCTGCTATGCTCTGTCTGCTGGTGCCCCTTTGACGCTGCTCACCATTTTGAAGGCCAAACCAAGCCCTCTGCCATCGGGGGACTTCAACTCACGGTCACTCGATAGGGCAGAGTGGTCATTTTTGGGGGGGCTCTTATAGGTCTTGTATATTTGTACCTATCTATCTCCTTTGGAGCAGCGGTTAGGTTTAAACTGCTGACCATGCAATTTGCAGCCTGAGGACTCCAAATTTGAACAAGGAGCTCCAAAATTTCATTTCTCATTAGGCCTTGTCACTGCAGGGGCCCCTGGGGCTGGGTTCAGGGCTCCCCGGCCCTTATCTTGGCCCCGAGGGCGTGGTGACTGCGCAGATGGCCGCATAATCTCTTCTTGCCAGGCGTCTCTGTCTAGCAGGAGAATGACTTGCCCAAGAGCACCCAGCAGGGAGTGGCCAGGCACAGACCAGCATGAGGACTGCTGGGAGGGTGTCCATTTCTGGAGCAACGAGGCGTTTTGCCAGCACTGATTTCAAAGAATTCAATTATGAGTGGGCTCAACGCCATCTCCCCCCAGAGTTAGACTGACCTACATTTTCTAGTAAACTCCCTTTCCTTGTACCTGCATAAGATCTGTAGACTGGCATGCTGAACGAGTCCCTCAGGCTGGAGATCTAGGCACCTGCAACCTGAAGCTGAGCTCTTCTGTCTTCCTTTAACGAGTCTCCTAGGGGTCCTGGTGGCATCATGGTTAAGAGTTGGGCTGGTAAGTACAAGGCCAGAAGTTCGAATCCACTGGCCACTCTTAGGGGAAAAGATGAGGCTTTCCCCTCCTGGAAAGACATCTGGTGTCTGAAACCCACCAGAGTGGTTCGATCCTGCCCTGAAGAGCTCGTTGAGTCAGTATTGACTCGATGGCAGGGAGTTTTGGAGTCTGGAGCCCGTCTGCTACCTCTCAGCATCCTTGGCACCTATCTAGTCTCTATTGTGGGTGTCAGTTCTGGTCTCTGTGCCACTAAGCAGGTGTGGGAATCAGAGCAAGATACCCACTTCTCTGAGCCTCACGCTTCCCATTGGCAGTATGAGAACACTCCTGCCTCTCCTCCTCAGTGAGGACCCAGTGGGACAGTGCAGGCCCCGTGCCTGCTTGGGGAAGGCTCCATACATGCCATCTGCCACAGTTATTTTCAGTCCTTGGCGGGCGTGTGCTTGCTGAATAAATACAGAGCATTGAGAGGCATGGGATGTACTAAGCTCAGTCAGCAAACGTTAGAAGGTTTACACTGAACTGTGCAGTAGTGGTAAAGTACAAGCAGGCTTCCAAAAGTTCACGGGCAAGTGGAATGAAAAGATAATTGGATTTTCCCAGGACCTTTTAGAAACCCCCCCTTACTCTCTGAAGGACACAGAGGGTAAGAGTGGGCGCCAGCACAGGATGAGCAAAGCAGAACAGTCGCCAGAGTGAGGTGGGGGGAGCCACACATGACACCATGGTGAGGAGGGGGCTCTGTGGTGCAGAGAGCACCAGGAGACGGGGCAGTGTGCTCACATAGCAGAAAGGCCAACGTCAGTGTCCAGGGAGCTGGTTTCCATTGATTGGCTGTTTACAATGAGCCAGAGCAGCCCTGGTGCCACAATGGTTACTTGTTGGGCTACTAACCACAAGGTTGGCAGTTCAAAACCACCAGTCGCTCCACAAGGCTTTGTACTCCAGTACTGAGTCTCAGAAACCCACAAGGGCAGTTCTCCCTGTCCTTTAGGGTCACTACGAGTCCGAATGGACTCCGTGGCAGTGGGTTTGGTTACAATGTCCCAAGCGCTGGAGTTTGCGCATAGTTTCTCTGGAGTCAATTTGTGGAGCGCAATTCAGTACTATCAAGGAATCGGGCTTGGGCTTGCCAGGACAGGTTGGAGTTGGCTGGTACCGGCTCCTCCGAGCTGAGGGCCCACGTCTCTTCCCCAGTCCACAGTAGGAGGTGCGGCGGTCAGCGGGGTCAGCCCCATGGACGCTGTGCCTTCTCAGCACCTACAGCTTCTGCCTCTGCTGATGACCACCTGTGGTTTGACACCAGGCTTTGGAATGCCTGCTTACTTCCTTTCCACGCCAGCACTCACCTAGCTCTTTTAGCAACTCTCTCTATCACAGGGGACTACGGGTGTTTGCTGAAGTGGCCGCTGATGGTGTGCCCCCTCAGTACAGGAAGGTCCCAAAGGCTTTACTTCGCCTGCAGCGGTTCTCAACTTGTGGGTCGCCACCCCTTTGGGGGGGGTCAAATGACCCTTTCACAGGGGTCACCTGATTGATTCATCACAGTAGCAAAATAACAATGATGAAGTGGCAACGAAAATACTTTTATGGTTGGGAGGTCACCACCACATGAGGAACTGTATGAAAGGGTCGCGGGATAAGGAAGGTTGAGAACCACAAAGTATCAACCTCCTCACTGAGTCTGCAGCTCTCCCCTGGCTCCGCAGGAGGGCCCTCCACCCTGAAAGGCTCAGATTCCAGCCCTCGTCAGACAAGGGGCTGCTGTGCTCCACAGGCTTTCCACCGGCTGACCTGGGGGAGCAGAACACTAGATCCTTCTTGGCCTATCTTAGTCTGGAGCTCTGCTGACAGCTGGCCCCCGAGGGTAGCTCTGCTGCTATTTGACATGCTGTGCCATCGCTTCCAGCATCACACAAACAAAACAAACAAACTCACTGCCGTGGAGTCATTTCTGACTCACAGCGACTCCGTGTGACGGGAGAACTACCCCTGTGGGTTCCTGAGAACTGCAGCTCTTTACGGGAGCAGAATGCCTCTCTCTCCCGTCGAGCGGCTGGTGGTCTCAAACTGCCGACTTCGCAGTGAGCAGCCCAATGGGTCACCACTACACCACCAGGGCCCCCACGTCAGGGCAATCTGCAAAGCAGCACAGTAGGACCGAGTTACTGGAGGCTGTGGATTCACGCATTTGGACACATCAGCAGGGAAGACCAAACCCTGCACAAGGGCATCATGTCTGGTGAAGCCGAGTAGTAAAGCTGACACAACAGCTACAACCATGGACCGAGACAGCTCTGTGGCCATGCAGATGGCAGAGAGGTGCACAGTGTTTGGTTCTCAGATGCACGGAACCACCACCACCAGAAGAAGGAAGTCCTGGTTTGGGCCAGCTCCCCACTACTGACTGTGACAACCGTTTTAGACTCCCATGACAGGAGAGCATGCAAGGCCTGGCCCCATGCCATCCTCACTCTCCCGGAGCACACTTCCTTCCGTCACCCCTAGAGGCTTTGCAGTAACCTGAGCAGAGCCACCGGGCACAGCCCCTGGCCAGGGCAGCGCCCTGCGAGCCATTCTGAGCGTGAACTTGCCTTTAGACAAAGCCCACTCATCTGCAGGGAAAGACTGCATCCCAGTCTTCCTGTCAGTGCTGACAAGCCATGGGGCCTTTGCATTTGCAGTCTCGAAGGGTACTGCCTGCATTCAGGACATTATCCCTGCTGCCTGCTCCCAGCCTGCCCAGGGCAGAGACGGTGCCGCGTAGCTTTACAATAGCATGCATACAGTAAAGACCTTTGCCACTTGGAAAGCCGCCTTACCTGGGACCACAACTCTGATGCTAACACGTGTGAAGGCATGGTGCTACTGGGTGAAGAAGGGTACTGACACCCATGAGGTGGAACACCGGCCTGCTCCCCTGCCCATTTCAGACTCCTTCCCCACCCGCACCCACCCCACTCTGCAGAATGGCAACATAAATCTCACTTGATTTGCAGTCATACGGAGTAAATGTGCTGCTAGTTTCCAAAAGGCACTGTTCATTAGTTTCCCCAACTGCAGAAGAAAAGTATGAAAATCTATACATTTTAACGAGAGCCCCGGGATCTCTTTAACGAGATCTACGTTGACTAAGATCCTTGCATGCGTCTGTGTGAGAACCACCTGGGGGTCTTGTTAAACCACAGAATCTGACTCAGTATATCGGGGGAGGGGAGGCCCCTTTTCCATAGAGGGTCGGGCAGGAGCGGACCGGTTCTGAGTCCTGACTCAGTGGGCTGAGTACTCACCAGCTGCTGCTCCAGGGGAGGGACCGCATCGTGATGGCCGTAGATTATGCCGGGATTGTACTGACTGAAAAGGACCGGATAAAACACCTTTCTCCCTGCAAACCAGAAAAGGACCAGTGGCAGTGAGGGCAGGAACCAGTGGGCTTGTCCATTTTCATTCAGCCCCGGGAAACAGCCCAGGCGTTTACACTTGCTTTCTCCTGACTCTTCCCTGCACGCTTACTGAACAGGGCATCCTCCGGGAACTTGACCCAGGCCACTGACTTATAACTTCTGGAACAGGCAGGCCAGATACACATTGCCACCAAACCAAAATTCAGAGTGGCTTCCAAGAGACTATAACTCTTTATGAGAGTAGAAAGCCCATCTCTCTCCCTCAGATAAGATGGTTGTTTTGAACTGTGGACTTTAAGGACTATGGCCCAACTCATAACTACTACGCCACCAGGGCTCCTATGGCACCAGGGTGATCTTCAAAATGTTACACATCAGGGACTCTGCCCTGGGCCCCAACCAGGAGAGCCGCTGCCACGGTGCAGTCCTGGCTGCGCTGCCGTGGTAGAGGTAACTCTCGGGTTGCAGGGCCGCGGGCCTTGGGAAGGTTGCCGGCAGGGATCAGGGTGCCTGGATGGCTGTAGGGATATTGTAGGGAACCTGGGGCAGTAGCTCTTAACCCATTTATACGGAAGAGCTTAAATAGTCTAACAACTGCCTTGGCCATGCCACTAAGTATCCGCTGAATATCAGTCCTGCCTCTTGAGTCCACTGCATGAAAATACGAGGGTGGGCTTCAAAAATCCCATGGGAAAAATGGAATGAAAAGATCATGGATTGTTGTCCCTGGAGGCTTTGGAAGCCTTCCCATAACTGTCGTATTTGAGGGTCTCTGTCCTCGGGCCCTCTCTCCCGCAGTGACGCCACCTGGCTGCATATCTTCTCTTGGCTTGGGGCAGCTTCTCCAGGTAGGATTTCCACTCCCTCCTATCCAGGAAGGCAGGCCTCCCAGCTGAGCCTGGCAAAGGGGGTTATAGCCATGGACTTGGAACAGGGCTGGCTAAGTCCACCATGTGGGGCCAAAGCAGAGGGGTTTTCCTTTCCTCCATCAGGGAGGGCTAAGTCGGACTTTTGAAGAGAAAGGCCGGGGTGTGGGGCCGCCCCAGGGAGAGCGCGGCTGAAGAGAGCCAGCCCACAGACCTTACCTGGCTGAGTGTTCAGCCGACACGTGTCGAGGAACTCCGTGGTGAAGTAGATGTCGACGTCGCAGAAGAAGAGCAGGACGTTGCTCCCCTTCCAGAAGCGGGCCCCGACATCAAGGCCCTTTCCCCGGGAGAACTCCCCACTCAGCGGGATGAAGGTGAAGTTCCTGAAGCTGGCCGCCCTGCAAGGGAAGGGCAGACACAGTGACCACAAGCCTAGCCTTCAGCGGTGGACTGCAGTCCTCTGTCAATGCCTGACCCACATTTCCTTTTGTTTTAATTCAATCATTTTATTGGGGCCTTGTACGACTCTGATCACAATCCACACGTACATCCATTGTGTCAAGCACATTTATACATTTGTTTCCCTCATCATTCTCAAAACATTTGTTTTCTACTTGCGCCCCTGATATTCGCTCCTCATTTTTCCCTCTCCCTGCTCCCCTTTTCCCATGAACCCTTGATAATTTATAATTTTTATTTGTCATATCTTACACTGTCCGACATCTCCCTTCACCCACTTCTCTGCTGTCTGTACCCCAGGGAGGGGTTATATGTAGATCCTTGTAATCTGTTCCCCCTTTCTACTTCACTCCACCCTCCCGGTATCTCCACTCGTTTCTCAGCTAGATGGTCGCTTGTTTATCTTCAGGCCTTTAAGACCTCACATGCTATATCTTTTGACAGCTGGGCACCATCAGCTTTCTTCACCACATTTGCTTGTGCACCTGTTGTCTTCAGCACTCGTGCCAAGAAGGTAAGCATCTCAGACTGCCCAATTGTTAGAACAAAGTGGTCTTGTGTTGAGGGAGTACTTGAGTAGGGGCCCACTGTCCATCTGTTTCCTTAATACTAAACCTATCAATATATGTACATAAATCTATTTCCCTGTCATCATATATAAATATATATACATCTGTATATGCCTGTATTTAGATCTCTATAACTTCCCTTTGCTTCCTAGTTCTATCCTCTATTTCTTTGTATTTTCTTCTTGTCCCACTATCATGTTCAGCCTTCATTTGAGTTTCAGGAATTCCTTTCAGTTACATTGCCCTTGATCCAGCCCTGCCAGACCTCTTACATCCTCCTTGCCACTGATTTTGGATCACTTGTTGTTCCCTTGTCCTGGGTTTGTTAACACCCATTTCTTTCTCTCTCCCCCTCTCCCATGTCCCCCCGGAACTGTTATTCCATTGTTCTCTCTTCCGGCTTGTTTATCCCGCCTATCCCTTCCAGGTAGACATGCAGCAACAACAATATGTACCATCACAAAACTGGGTACAACAAGGCAACAATAGAAAGTCAAACAATACCTATAACAACAAAACCCTATAAATACTTCAGGGTTTATTTGTTGTCCTTTATGAGTGCTTTCCAGTTGAGTGTGATGGGGTGCCATGCCTTGGCCCCACATCTATCCCTGGGGACTTCATTGCTCTGCTTCTCCTGCTGCTCTGCTGCATGTCCCCAGTGGCTGGCTTCAGCGTAGTGGGCTCACAGCGGGCACAATTCCCGCCATGTGTCTCTAGTGTTGTCCCCCATGGTGTTATGGGTCAGTGAGGAACGCTGTGTCCCGTGGTGGGGCCGGCCCTGTGGTCATCTTTCTGCATTGCTGCTCTGAACAGAATCATTGTCCTCAGGGCTTGGTGAGCCAGGATGTGCTTCACTCTTTACCCCCTCCCCCGTTCGCTGGCTCCTGAGTGCTCTGATCAGACAAGTCTCTCTTCTTGTGGCTGCTCGGTTTTTCCCCTCCCTCCACGCTCCCCCTCTCCCATGAACCTTTGATAATTTATAAATTATTATTATTTTGTCATATCTTACACAGTCTGACGTCTCCCTTCACCCACTTCAAGAACTAGGAGGCAAAGGGCACTTATAGAGCTTTAAATACAGAGATATACAGATGTAAATATGAGGGGGAAATAGATCTATGTACATATATTGATAGGTTTAGTATTAAGGAAACAGCTGGACAGTGGGCCCCTACTCAAGTACTCCCTCAACACAAGACCACTTTGTTCTAACAATTCGGCAGTCTGAGATGCTCAACTTGCTGACCCATAGTTCTTTAGTGACCCTGGGGACATTGGGACTACCTCGCCAGTCACAGAATGCATGGCCCGCCTCACTGCCAACTCATCAGAATGAAAGTGTCCAGTACACTGATTCTGACTCATTGTGACCTCAACATGTGCAGCAGGCCACAGCTGCCCCATAGGGTTTTCAAGTCTGTGTGTGACCTTTAGGAAGGCAGTCACTGAAGTAACCCTCAGTGGGCTCGAACCATCAACCATCGACCTTGCATCCCGTGGTGAATGTTTAACCATCTGTGCCACCAGGGCCTCCATCTTCAACACTGAAATATTTATGGTTTCTCTGGTATGTCTCCCACATTGAAAACTGTGCTGATATCACCAATAACTATTTTTACTCCCCGGAGAAAGACTGAACCAACGATGGGGAGGTCAACCCCACACAGGCAAATCTCCATGCTTCCTGAAGCCCTCAAGTGGAACCAGAGCCACGGAACTCAAATGACACAGAAACAGTTCCACTGAGCACCTTCCCACCTTTACCTAGATGCCGACAGACAGCTCACCCAAGGCAGATTTAAATCTGAATTCCTTCCCCACTCCTGGATGGAGGAGCATGGCAGGATGGGGACTGTCTGGGACTATCTCAAAACTGACTCTCCTGAGAGTCCTTCTGTGGAGGAAGCAAGCCACAACACCTTGCAACCCAGCTGCCTCATCTATTGACTGGCATCAATAACATCGCCCCCAAATATCCAACGTTACTAACTAGATGCATGGCGTTACGGATACAAAGCTCTGTGTCGGCGCCAAGGATCACAAGTACTGCCACCGGCAGAGAGCTCCGGGGCTGTCAGTGAGGCTGAGCTGTGCCTCAATTCACCATTCTTCCCAGAAACAGCAGAGCCTCTGGAACGGGCGTATCTTCTGTCAGGCTCAAGCACAACCCGCACCCCGTGAGAGGGGGATCCTGTCTCCTACCAGACGAAACCAAAGACCCCCTCACGGTGGTTCCTGCTCTGCCTTTTGCTTATGCAGAAGACTTGCATGGGAAACCCCCCATTGTCTATGGGAACCGCCCGGCTTTCACCATTACTCCCTCTCCTCCCACACTGCCCAGCCCTCGCCCTCCTCCCTGGGTCTAGCTCCACTTCCCAAAGTCACCTCGCTCTTGATCGGTTCAAAGCAATGACAGGGCCCATTTCCCTCTGTTAGGGTTCACATTCCAAGCGTGGGCAAAGGTCACACAAGTATCCCGTCATAACAGCCTTGCAAAAAGGTACCACAGCTAGTGATTTAATCAGTGGAAGAGTTCTGCCACCCCTCCCTTGACTTCACATCTTGCACATCTGGAAGTGAGCTTGGTTTTTTTAATCTTGGGAATCTGTGAGCTCAACTCTGTCTGAGTCCGGTGCCAGACAGGCTTTTCAGATTGAGATCAAGGTAGGGGTATTGTGATAGAAAGAGCAGGTCATGAGTCAGGGAAGGCTTCAATCCCAGCTCCCAAGCCATGCTGGCACCCAGGAGGTGTCAACAGGTGTTGGTGGATAAATGCATGAATCGGTGAAGGAGTCCAGCCCGAGCGCCTTCTCTATTTGAGGTAAGTCCCTTCTAGTCACGTTTTAGTTTCGGTTCCTAATTGCTTACAGAGCCCAGAGTTTCCTTTATAGTCAAGGGTTTGCTAAGTGGGCGATACTGCTCCCTGGTAGGTGCTGGAGCCTGTGACCCTCAACGTCAACAGTTCAAAACCAGGAGAAGCACCTCAGGAGAAAGACGGGGCTTTCTACTCC